TGATGAAGACCTGAGCCTATGCAGATTAAATTTGTGTTGATGACTATTACTTTTGGCAATAGCCAGCAATGAGAATTATCACAGCTTTTACAAGGTATCTTACTCATTCTTACTCAAAGTGTGTTTCTAGAAAATATTAAACTCATTATTAAAGTAATATTCTGTTTTAGGGAGGTAGTCAATATTGCTTGGAAAAATATCAATGACCATTAGGTTCCAGTGATATTTATTGTACTTATCATTTCAAGAGAAATTTTAAGAGTCATTAGCTTTGAATCAAGTTCCAAAGCATAGGATAACATTTATTTCCAACAAGCTGGGAGAAGACAGAGAATTCAGAGGTCAAGCTCCCTTACATGGAAACTAAGAATCACTACATTGTTTCCAATATTATTTTTGGAAAAAACCTTACAGCAAACTACCAATCTAAAAATGTAAATATCCCATATGTTCTTTCTCAGCAGATTGCATTCTCTGTATATTCTGATCCAATTAGTGTCTCTTCTAGGGGCAGGAGTAGATAAGATTGTATTTCTCCTACTGTCTTACACAACTAACAGTCAGCAGATGTGATCTGGATGCTAGTCCCTCCTATGGGCTAACTGAAGGTTTTTAAGAAAACCTTTTCCTGTGTCTGGTATTCTTAAAGGAATCTGTACAGCTGCAAAAGCAAGGACAGTGTTTGAACATTAAATTAAAGAAAAATAACTTGATCAGGGAGAACATGTCTTCCATAAGAGAATCTGAAGAGATCTTATAGCAACTTCCTGTCCCCAAAGAAGCCTACAAGGGAGCTGGAGAGTGACTTCTTACAAGAACATGTAGTATTAAGAAAAGGGAGAATGGTTTTAAACTGAAAGAGGGCAGGCTTAGACTGGATATTAGGAAAACATTCTTTACTGTGAGGATTGTGAGGCACTGGAACAGCTTGCCCACAGAAGATATGGATGTCCCATCCCTAGAGGTGTTCAAGACCAGCGTGGAAGGGTCTCTGAAAAACTTGGTCTAGTGAAATGTGGCCTTGTCAGTGGCACAGGGGGTGGAGCTAGATGATCTTTATAGTCTCTTCCAATCCAAACAATTCTATGATTCTATGACCTTTAAGATTAACCTTTTAGGTGAAAATTGAATATTTTTGTTAATTAAGATCATTAGGAGAAGGCAAATATCATCAAATAAGGTGCTTCTGTCTTTTTCCCAAATCTAACTAAATTTATGCAGGAAGTGGAAGGTAGATGCATCACCATCATGGTAAATTCTGTAAGTCCTTTCTTGTGTTTAGCTGAAATGCAGCTTCTAGAGTGCTTTGACCTATATTATAAAAAAAAAAACTCAGAAAAAGAAGATTGAATCATCATCAGTTACCACAATACAAAATTTTTTAAATTATACCACCCTATTTTAAAGAATCTGCAAACAGCAGGAATAATATTAGAACATAAAACTAGATAAATAAACTGGTGCAAAGTGACAGAGATGAGAAGTAATCAGGAAAATGAGCTCCTGTTCTCTAAGGTTCCAGGAACCATTTACTAATAAACTCTAGAAAAGTATTGGTCTAAGAACTCTGCATGAATAGGCCAGCATTTGGCAGGCTGCAAAAGTTAATACTATTAACAGGGCTTAAAATAGAGGTAATACAATAAAGCTAGTAAGGATGATACTTGCAGATAATTATAACTCAATTTTTAAATAATTTTGTAAATGTTGCATCACTGTAAATCATTACTTTTGAGTAAATACATTCATTTATCTTTCAATCTTGCCTCATGGTAAAATCAATGCTCTGGTCTGATATTTCCTGTGCCAAAGCACTTCGTTGGGCATGAATATCCCTTAGCTGAAAGGAATCTGGTAGATTCCTAGGGTATTTAATATGCAGTGAGAAGTACAACTTTCCAGTACTTTTCGTTAATTTGCCATTGGGCTCGAGGGATCCAGCTGTAGATGGATGAAACAAATTATCATTTCCTCTGAATGGTAGCTTAAGCTGCTGAGAAATAACATGAGAATGGACACAGATCTTGGAGATTTTGGTGTTTCTCTGAGAGGTGAAGAACCTTCCTGTAACAGTGTCATATTTCAAGAAGGAAATTATTTCATAATATTAAAATAGAAAACAAGTGTAATTGATTTACACAGTTGCAGAAGTAAAGTTTTTATTTCAGATTTAATTGTTTGGAACTTTTCTTTCTCTATCTATTTATTTTTGGTTTATAGTCCCCACTATGTCTCATTCCCCGAATACCTATTTCTCCCTATCTCTAGACCAACTGTTGTTTTCACTATCATACGATATTTTATGGCCAGACCTGTGTGAAACAAAGTCATTGTGATTCATAAGGTTTTCATGCAAACCTTTTTCACTTCAAGGAGTTCATCCCTTGAGTTTTTCTTTGAGTTTCAACTTCAAAGGAACCTAAAACTGCAATCTGAAATCCAGTCAAGGCTGCAAAGCTTTGCCTTGTTTCAGGTCAAGAGCTCAGGAAAATGTTGAATTATCTGACCAAAGCAAAATCAATTCACTGAAAAAATCCCTCCCGTAATGCAGAATTATCTTGTTCCTTTTAGTTCAGCATAACTCAAACTCATTAAAAATCAACTACAGTTACAATCCCCACTAACACAGTCTTGACTCCAACCTCTTTGAGAAATGCTGTTATACTCCCCACAAAAGCATCCATTGAGAAGAGAAAAACATATTTTACTGCGGCATATAATAGAGTTTGCTTTGTAAAATAATATTATCTTTAAGTAAAATGGTACTGAATAAGTGCTATCTGCTCTTAAACACTTTCCAGCTCCACAGAATCACAACACTTGCTATATTTTTCATGAAATCTGCAATGCTGTTTAAAATCACTTACAGCTATTTTTATACCACACAACAGTTATCATTCTAACTTCCCCCCTTCCCCAGCATATCTTTCATCCTGCTACTGCCACAAACTTTAGAATTCAAAAGCAAAAGGCAGCCAACTAAGTGTGTCTGAATATACACACACACTCTGCACAAGTAGAAAAGGAAAGTCAGGTCAGCATCAGTGCAGTAGACCTCAGTCCCAGACCTCAGGACAGTGTGACTGCAACCTCTGGCAAGTTTCAACAAATCCCCTCATTATTTGCAGCTGTATCTCGAACATGCTTCTGTAAAAACTGACAGCTATTGCCTGCTCAATAAAGCAAGAGTTAAGGTTGTCTCACTCTGTAGCTTGATGCTGGAATTTTTTATTTTTTGCTCATTTTTGTGCCATTAACTTCAACAGTCTAGAAAGGCATAGGATTTCACACATTCTGACAGGATATCTATCAAGTGAATAACTTTCTGCTCAACCTTGTTTTGTAAGAAAGACCTCTAAAGTATAGCAGCACATGGTGAAAACAAAATTATGTTCTTTAAACGAAAAAAGTAACAAAACTAAAGCTTACACATCCAAGTAAGAAACTTTGCCTGAACCAGAAATGTAAAAGTTCTTGAACAATGTGTCTCCAAATGACCTGGAGAGTTTATGTAATCCCATCCACTTTATCCATTCCATAAATACAGGACAATATACTCCAAATCCCTCTTTTGGTACTGCAGTTCAGCAATGCCTTTTATTTGCCTTATAGCATTGTTTTATCCATAAAAGGCAGGTGAAAATCTTATTAAGAAAAAGTCATATCTCCTTGGATTATAATTTCTTCCCTTTGTAATAAATGTGATTTCAGAAAAGTGATGGCATCCGTTTGTACTTGTTACTTCTCTTTGGAACTCAAGAAGAAAGCTTAACTATGTTCAGCTATGTTTTAAGAGCTGGTCTGCACACCACAAAGGAGCACAGTCAGACATAAATTCTGTGCTGTCTTTCCTAAAGTTAGATGCAACCATGCTATCACTGTGCACATTCCTTCTCGGTGGATAAAGGGCTGCCATGCAATCTCTCTTACAGGCATTGGTACCTTAAATATTCCTTTTTAATCAAAATTAATTTGCTATTTAACTCTTGCAGTTTTACAGTTTCAATAGCTAGATCATAGAGAGCTTTGCTACTCAATGTATTAATAGTTATTACATAAAATATATCCCTTCTTACTTTTCTATAATCTTTAACTGTAAATTAGGTTTTTGTTTTAATCCATAAAACAGTGAATGGTCAAACATTTTCTCATTGGTTTGGGGTTTTTGGTTAAAGCACAAAAAATTCTGCAATTATCTTTGTAAAATTATGCATAGCTGCATTTAAGGTAAACAGTAAAGTAATATAAGCCTGTATCTCTATAAATCCTGGCTTCAATTTCAACTGATTGCCTGTTCAAAGGCATTTTTACTCTCATCTCAATATTAGGAGATTGTTGGAAAAAGGAAGAAGTGAACGAAACTAAGGACTGGATATATTTTCTCTGTGTCCTAGGTATTTTTGCAGATGAAAATCCCACCCTTTTAGCAAATGAGGGGAGGAACAAAAGATGCATACCACTGAGTCATCATACATTGTTCAGGACCTATAAAAGGGCAACAGCACCTTTCTTCTTTCTGTTCTTTTATAGTGTAGGGCATGCAGAGCTCATAGGAAATATTCTTAATTCAGAAACTCATAACTACAGAGAAAATAATTAGATTTTAAGCTGCTGATAATCAGTGTGTAAACACCCTTTGTGATTAGCAACCTAAACCAGCATCTCAAGCAGCAGTCAGCAGCTCTCCCCAACAGTTTAGGGCAGATTCAGTTTCCATTTGAAACAGTTTCTTTTGTGCAGCTGCTGAGAATGTGTTTGCTCAGTAAACCCAGCTGCTGTTGAACTGCTCTGGTGGGTAGCATGGCACAGTACAGTGCTCTATAAACATGTCATGATGCAGGGAATGCAGAAGGTGATTAAGCCAACACCTTCTTTCAAAAGAGGCATGGGGATCTTTAACAACCAGAAAGGAAGAATGATTTTTTTTTTTTTAATCTCTACCAAAAGACGTGAGAGACTTCCCTACTCCATTGAAATTTTGAAACTGCAGGGTAGCTTACAGTTATGACAAGTGGCACCACTGTAACTAGTTCCGTCGCAAGTGCACTTGAAGCTGTCCCACGTCTGGGTGCATTTACCATCGTGTTCACAGTGATTGGGCACACACCTGTCAGGATGAGATGCAAAGACAGAAAGAGAAACCAAAATGAGCATCAAGATTTACACAAAGCAAAATTTTGAGCTGCACAAGCTGTGTATCCTCATCTAGTAATTAATCCTTGCTATTTTAGGTGTATTAACAGAATTTATATCTGAACACACAACTGCATTAAACTGCATGAAAGATTCCTGAAGGCTTTGCTGAAGCCTTTGTACAGACAGTAAAAAAAGCACATTAAAGGCAGAATAGATTCATCATCATAAATCGGGGTTCTATGTAACATATGACTGGTACTCAGCTTTCAAAACCAAAAGAACATCACATGTCACACCTTCTCCTGCTGTGCAGGTGGTGTCACGCCTCAAGGAACCCAGTCCCACAGCTGACTGGATGTTAAAACCAAAATGCCACTGGCTTGCTCTTCATCTTTCTGTAGTCATCAATGGGATAAAAGGGAGAAAGATTGCCTGCTGGCTAGGATGGAAGGAAATTAGTAAAGCTGCATTATTAAAACTGACCATAGGCTTTGTTATAATAGTTGTGTAATTTTTTCTTGTCACAGGGGTTTATGGCAAGATCTGTTCACCTTTCTCCCACATGCCTGCTTTTCTTCCCTCCAGCTACACTGTTGTTGGAGAGTGGGAGGACTGAAAAAGTGGAACAGCAAAACCCCAAAGTTAAAGCTAAACATATTTTTATTGTTTGAAGTATTATCTAAATGTGATTTCAGAGATTTGAGTTTGGCCAGGTTCTTTTCTGTCAAACATAGTTAAAAATGGGAATTACCATTTACTTTCACCTCTGAAACTATTAAACTTCTTTTCTTTGAAAGGACTTTGAAATATCATTTCAAAGAATGTTTTTCCTTATTAAATTAGTTATAATCAGACTCAGTATGGGCTCTGCCTTTTTGATCAAGAAACAAAGGACTTTTCCTTTTATGTTTTTTTTTTTTGACAAATCTGTATTTTTTTTTTATTATGAAATTAAAAACTAAAACTAAGAGAGCCCCTATTAGACAAAGAGATCTTTTCAGTAATGAATTAAAAAATAAGTGTTCTTATCTCTAAGATAAATCTGAAGTTCATTGTATTCCTGTGACAGCTAACAACTCTCTCATAAACAACATCCAAGGAAAGCTTTGCTTTCCTACGTAGAAACATTGAAACTGAAAGGATCTGGGCCATTCCTCAATAAGCTTACAGTCTCTTATTTCCTCAGATTCCAGTTAACAGCATTCACATTCATGGCTCAACAACCAAGAATAATTTCTGTCACAATATGCCTTGCAGAATTGAGTATTTTATACTCTCATTTAGAAATTGTTTTTTGTTTTGTGCGTGCCAGTACATGTTCCTCAAAATATATGGAATATAGATACCTTATGTCCTATATCACCCTTTACAACTCAAGGCTACCCATTCTTTTCCAAAAAGATCAGAAAATACTGGCATGGTTAAAAATAGTTCTGAAAGTAATGCTCTTCTAAAGCAAGAAACAAAGCACTTAAAAATCTTCTTTCCATGGTAAAATACAGTGAAACTACCTGAGGCAATTATCACAGTTCAATAATTTATGTCTTCAGCGTGGTTTAAATGAATTAATTTAGTTTTATAAGAGTGGCAGGCTAAATTAATAGATAGAGCTGATTACTGCTATCCAGTTGTGTTCTCAACACCTCAAAAGAAAACCGAGAGTGTAAAATAGCACATTTCTAAACAGACAAACAATTAACAATTTACATGAATCCATAGCTCCTGGGTACAAGAGCAGGGAAAGCAAAGAGCAATGACATTTCAAAAATAATCTCATAAAAGTAACTTTTATTCAAGGCTGTAAATAACTACAAAAGTTCCTAAATCAGTATACTGTTTTGTATTTTTTTCAGCTTTTCAAAATAACTTCTTTTTATATATTTTCTTCTTCATTTACATTTGAACATGCATTACTTGAAAAGTAATTTCCCAATGACCAAACCAAACATTTTTCTATGTGAATTTTACCAGATATTTATATGAACTCTCATACGCAATGCTCGCAACTAGTTTCACATTTAGTGCGGTATAACTTACTTTTATTGCAACATAACTAGTAAAGAGACTGCATTACTGACTATATAACTGAGGTAAATGACTTAATCTTCAGAAAGATGAAAACTAGATATTATCTGTCTCATTTAATGGAGCGTATTAAGTCATAAAACCAGAGATATTCAGCAAACTCCTTGATGTTAATTTTATGCTTCCAGTATGATGGTTGGAATAGTGTAATGGCTTCCAGTGGATGGCTGGATCTGCATTTGCAAAATTTCTTTTTTAATCTGATTTTTGCTGTTCTAAAAATGATGCTTTTATAAAAATAGAGTAAAAAGTATTTTAACATTAGTGCACACTGAAGATTAAATCAGACTATAGGATCATTTCCTGACATTTTCCCTTCACCATCTTTTCTGTTAGTTTCTTTTATCAGATAGAATGAAAAGATTTATTTTCTATTAAGTCCATCAGCAAACTTCTGAAACATAATCTGGTGGTCATCTGTCCACATTTTGGACAAACCTTACCTACTTTAATAGAGTTTACAAGAAATGCTAGATATTCAGAATGTAGAAATTACAAAAAACCCAAAAACCCAAAAAACCCCTGTTTTAATTCAGTAAACCATATAATGAAGAATAACATACATCACTGCAATCGCCATTATTTTTCAAACACATTTCTTTCTATAGAATGAGACTAATTTGCAATTTTCAATATACAAACATCGTGGTATGAGATTTGTATTTTGAGCCGATACAATCATTACGTTTATCTACCTTATGGTCATCATTTTGTAGACACGCAAAATTTATACACTTAAAACCTCAAAAAAATTCAATGCATGCATGATTTGCAGATGATTTGTATTAAAAGACTATGTTTCTAAGCAACTCAGTTCTTTCTTCTCCTTTAGGAATAAGGCTTCATTACATAAAAAACCCCATAAAACAAAACAAACCTTCAAAACAGCACCTTCCTCCTAAACCAGGCTCTGAAGTTAGAAACCATCACAAAGCAGAGCAACAAGTTCCTCATTACCAAGTTGTGTCTCCTCCCAGTGTGGATACCCATCTTTCAAGGACTTGCAAAATGTTGCAGACTCCATTTCAAGAACTTTCTTGCTCTATGGCTCCTTCTGAAAGGCAAGTCCAGAACTTCATCCTTTCAAGTATGATACGCTGTCTTCTAATTTCCACCCCAAAATTTATCCAAAGAGACTTTACAGATGCTGTTTGGTTTGGTATTTTATTTGGAGACTTTGATTTGTTTATCAAACAGTGTTTGTTTTCCTTTTGGATTTACATCTCAGTACTTTGCAGGGAGCAATCATAACTTCTTTTAGTCTGTAGCTTTGTGAGATGAAGTCTCCTGTTGGAAAAAATATTTTTCACAGGTCTTCCTTGTAGCTCTGCTCCTGTTTGCACTTGCATTCTGCTGAGTGTTCTAGAGGAGGTATTATCAGTTTTGTGATTTCAGAATTGATCAGAATTTTTTGATTTCTTTACTGAAATTATTTTACTTAATATATAGCACTTTACTGACTACTAAAGAATAGTGGCTTAAAGTCATCCTGAGATTTTTCACCATGGTAAAGACCTTCACTAAATTCCCATCCTTCTTTTCATCACTTCCAACCAATGACTTCCATTGCATCCAGAAAATCTTGCTACTGTTTTTAACAGCATTACTGTGTGCTGTAATTCCATTGTGTCATTCATATTATTCAGGTTATTTTTCTGGGCTGAATCTGGATCATCAGCATGTTTCATCAAGATATTCCTAATTTTGAGCCAAGGTTAGAGCATTAAATAGGATTTTCTCTGGCACTGATCTCTGAGCAACTCTCATCTCCCAGCCAGCCATTAACCTATCAGTATAAACTGAGAGACAATTCCATTTGACAGTTCACAAGTTACTTTGCAATTCCTCCCTCAAACCCCATCTTTCCTGGTTTAGCTAATAATTTCCATCATTACAATATATCAAATATTTTATTGACATCTGGAAAAACAGATCTATTAATTTTCTCCTATCTGACACAAAAAGTTCTGTGCTTTACCAGAGAAAGAGATCATATTAATCCTGAATAATCCACTGTTGATAAACATCTGCTGCATTCTATCTACCTTGCATTTACATCAGGATAACTCCTTGTTTTCCTCAAAAACATAATAAAACTGCTAAAGACAGATTAATAGGTGTCCAGTGATCTGGATTTCTCTATTTGTTAAATTACATCAGGTTAACTCTGTCGTCTCATAATACAAAATCATTAGCTTTTTTAAAATTTGTTCAGGGTTTTTTCTGCTGTTATTTGATTGGTTTTGTTTGGTGTGGTTCGTTGGTTTTGTTTGTTTGTTTTAGTTTTTGTTTTGTTTTTGATTATTTGGAGGTTTCTGTGGTTTTATGTTTGATTTGTTCTATATGTGATCCTAAATAAGCTCAACATACTATTGGCAGCAAGAAAAAAAAAAAAAAGAACACAAAGAAAAGGCATTTCATAATGTTAGTATCAGCAGGAGAATGATATCAGACCCATGTAGAAATCCTCAGAGCCTATTCAGCAGAAATGAGCAATGGCTGATTTTCAATTGCACAAACATTCTTGGAAACAGGAAGGTTACAAACTGTTAGAAATGTCCACAGGGAAAAGGCAAAGATGCAATGAGGTTCATTAGTGGTAGAAAGTATTTTCAGAAGCAACTCAACATACATCAAGAATGACTTAAGTATGCTTGGGTCTGCCTGAAGGCAGGAGAATGAGCTCAGAGGTCTCTCCAGACACCTTTCTAATCTGGGTATTTTCATATTCCATAAGAAACAGAAAGCATTTCTTTCAATCTCTTTTTTCTCATTATGTGATTATGATTTCTTAATGTTGTACATGTGCCATTTATTCTCTGTAGGTCAACAGGTCACTGCCTCAGTCTTTTTAGAGGACCATGTCCCTCAGGGCAGGGTTATTTA